AAAACGCCGGAGGCATGAGAAGACCAAATTAACCTCGAAGCCTAAGAATTCACAGAAAATCTCAACCTGCATGATCACATAAAGTGCCACGCAAAATTAAAAGCATTAATCGCATTAAACAAAAAAAAAAAATAAAAAAAAAAATTCACAAACAAAACTTCAAAGGGCCGGAACAAAAATATGAAAAGTTTATAATGAAGAAAATAACTTTGAACTAAAACAAAACCGTGTGTCTAGATTAATCGAAACAATGCCAGATCAGGAATAGCAAGATTAGATCACTGGTTCCATAATATAAAAGACATGCTTCAATGTGAATTCATCCAAATTGATATATGAAAAAATCCCGTCTATCCATCACGGAATGTATATTAGATAAGGCTCACGCACTAGAAACGGAACATAAAAATAATCACAACAGATCAACTAGAAATTAGAAAGCACTGCCGAAGACGACTTCTATTCGATAAAAGAAATCATGGTTAATAGAACAAAAACAAAAAAACAAAAAAAGAAAAAAAGAAAAGGAAAAAATCGATGAACCTAAGGGAAGCTATGATGGAACATTGGGAAATGCATTTTTAAGCAACAGTCACCAAGCAAGGCGGGAATTCCACAATCATGCAAGGTGTTACAGAAGATTGACAACAAGAGAAAAAAGACGTGTTTGAGGAAAGGATACAGAGAAGGACGAGCAACAAAATCAAGGTATCAGATATCGACTGACATTACATTTGATTGTTTGAAGATTATAGCTATCGGGGAAACAAGCAAGTGAAAGGGAGTCACACAGACGGGAAGTGCGAGAGAAAAAGCTGTTTGAGTAGAAGAGACGGTTACATTTAACCGTTTCGATAGTGAAAGGGCGGGACCGAAATGCCAGCCTAGTAGCTCCCTTAAATTCAAGCAGACTGGGAACCTGCGAAAATAGCTCGTTGAAAATACGGGAAAATACTTGTAGAAGAGACAGAGGGAAGCCACGGCATGTCCGTGAGAAAGCGACAGTAGACTAGATGCCAGATCGGGACCTATCACATTGCATATTCGTCTCTGGATTTTGTCGAGGACATCAAGACAGACAGTAGAGGCACCAGTTCATACATTAGAGCATTATTCCATGAATGGACGGATGGTTGATTTATAGATTTGAAGGATGATCTCAGATGAGAAAAAAAAAACTTTCTGGTACGATATAGACAACCAACTTTCCTTACGGTAGATGAAGCTATTGATTCAATAAACACGTACTAGTTACGAACATAAACAAAAAAGATCTAAGACTGTAAAGAGAAGATGAGCTGGTAATACTAAGAAACAGCGACAAAAAATGGTAAAATAACAAAAGAAACTATATTCACAGGAATATTACTCAAAATAGATATTAAAACAAAAAAGAGATATACAACTCACATATAATTTTAAAGCTCTACTAAGGAATGTATATACTGTCTTCGCGCGATTTGTGGCTATACTTTTAACGATAAGGTTTTAACGACAATGTTGATCTTGATGCAAAATTGGTGGAATTGAGACTTTCTTGATGCAATCACAACTTTGCTGGGTTATTCATGTTGCAAGGATGAGTAATGAGAGATTACCTAAGATCCTCATGAGTAAATAGCTTGAAAGTGAACAAAGGAGTGTTGGACCAGCATGGCTCAGGTATAAAGACAAGCTAAAGAGTAAACTCTCAGCTGTCAATGTACCACATACTAACTTCGAGCAAGTTACCCTGAAGAGAAATAACTGGAGATATGTGTGATAGAGGGGCATCAGAAATTTTGACCGGCTGAGAGACGAAAGACAACGGCGAAAAGCATCAGCAAATATTCCCGTGGTCATGTCACGAGATCCCCGCTGTTGCACAATATTTGGACTTTGTATACCCCGTAATATGCTAGGTGACGATAGAATACCTAAGGTTCTCGTGAATAGCCAGCTTGACAGTAGATAAAGAAATGTTGGTCGGAAATGACTCAATTATAAAGACAAGCTGAAGAGTTTTAGCTGTCAATGTGCCTCATATCGAAAAATCAGTTGTATCAGAAATTTCGAAATCTGTCGTATTGATCGGCTGAGAGACGAAAGACAACGGTGAAAAGCGTCAGCAAATATTCCTGTTGATATGTCCCGAGATCCCGACAGTTTCACAATATGTGGACTTGTATACACTGATGATGATTTTGGAAAAATATCGAAAGTACTCAGGAAAAATAAAAATGAATAAATATAACCACAGTACCTTCTTGCTGTCATTAATAATGGACAAAGAATGCTTATAGTTGATTACGAAAGAATTTTATTGAAAATAAATTAACACATGTCTAAATTATTTAATAGGCATGTTTAAATGAAAATATTCTGCTAAAATATACGGAATACGTACATACATACGTATATATATATATATATATATATATATATATATATATATATATATATATATACTGAAACTTTCCTGATGCAATCACAACGTTGCTGGGTTAGTCATGTTGCAAGGATGAGTGATGACAGAATAACGAAAGACCTCATGTATAGCCAGCTTCACAGTGGACAAATGAGTGTTGGCCGGACATGGCTCAGTTATAAAAACAAGCTAAAGAATAACCTCCCAGCTCTCAATGTGCCTCATTCTGACGTCGAGCGAGTTGCCCTGGATAGAAATAACTGAGGAGATTTGTGATAGAGTTGTATCTGAAATTTCGAAATCAGTCGTATTGATCGGCTGAGAGACGAAAAGGCAACGGCGAAATATTCCTGTGTTTATGTCCCGAGATCCTCAGAGCTTCACAATATTTGGACTTTGTATACCCCGTAATATGATATGGGACGATAGAATACTTAAGGTTCTCGTGAATAGCCAGCTTGACAGTAGACAAAGGAATGTTGGACGGAAATGACTCAAGTATAAAGACAAGCTGAAGAGTCAATGTGCCTCATATAGAAAAATCAGTTGTATCAGAGATTTCGAAATCTGTCGTATTGATCGGCTGAGAGACGAAAGGCAACGGCGAAAAGCGTCAGCAAATATTCCTGTTGATATGTCCCGAGATCCACGCTGTTGCACAGTATGTGGACTTGTATGCAAGTCACTAGCGGAACAATCATAAGAACTGAATGTGTTGTCGGATACTTAGACGTCGAAATCGACGTGAGAGCACATCATGTATGTCATATATAATGACTGTAAATTGAAAGTATGTAAAGAGGCTGTATATATTTATAGGGAATATTTTGCATTAATATCCGAACAGTTTTATTGTCAATTAAAATTTATAGAAAATATTTTATTGAAAGCGTTTTTTTTTTAGGAAATTAGACTTCCCAGATCCACTGCTTTCTCACTTTCTAGTATTGATGCAGGTTTCCTTCCAAACCTTTTGCCTTTGTTCGTATGGAAAGCGAACAGCTTGATGACATCACTCTCTTTTAGTTGTATGTGCTGACCTTGTTGTTGCTGCTGTTGAGAATGTCCAACTGATGTGTTTTTTCTTGTTTGGCGAAATTCTTCGATCGCGATTGTCTAGCGCCAGTTTATGATGGACCGTCTTCTTTAAGATTTATAGGACTTTATTCGTTTTAAAACATTGATAAGGCTCCCGTGCGATCACCGAAGTTGAGCAACGTCGAGACGGCCACTTCCTACATGGGTGACCGTTTAGAGAAACACCAAGCGCTGTAAGCTCGGATTTACAGGTGGTATGGCACGGTCTTATCACATTGACTCATCGTTTCCCGGCAAGATCACTAAAGCAACGTTGAACCTGGTCACTACCTAAATGAGTGACACGACGGGTGTGTTTATCACACACACACACACACACACACACACACACACACACACACACACACACACACATATATATATATATATATATATATATATCCAGATAAGAAAACTACAACCGGATTTATAGGAACACTTCCTTCAACAACCCAATGCATCATAATCAAATAAATTTTAATCAATGTCAACCCCAGATTATCAATGAATAAATTAAAAATAAAAAAGGATAAAAATAAGAATAAAAATAAAAAATAAAAATAAAATAAAAATAAGAATAAGAATAGAAATAAAAGAAAAAAATTAAAATTAAAATAAAATAAAATAAAAATAAGAATAATAATAAAAATAAAATAAAAATAAAATAAAATGAAATAAAAAATAAGAATAAGAATAAAAAATAAAATAAAATAAAAAATAAGAATAAGAATAAAAATAAAATAAAAAAAAAATTAAAAAAAATGAAATAAAAATAAGACTAAGAATAAAAAAAGAAAAAAATTAAAGTAAAATAAAATAAAAATAAGAATAATAATAAAAATAAAATAAAATAAAAATAAGAATAAGAATAAAAAATAAAAAGAAAAAAATAAAATAAAACAAAAATAAGAATAAAAAAAAAATAAAAATAATAAAATAAAAATAAAATAAAATAAAATTAAGAATAAGAATAAAAATAAAAAATAAAAACAAAAATAAAATAAAAATAAAAAATAAAATCATCAATGAAGCAAAAATTAACATAGCACTAAATGACAGTGGCTTTTGACAAAAATTACATTTAGATCCTACCATAAGAAAACATTCAGTAGAAACAGAAACATCATAGATTTCGGCCAACTTTAGAATGGAAACATAAAAAAAAAAACATTCATCGACAAGCCCGTCTGTAAATCAAGTAAACCGCGCAAAATGTTCAACAGAAATTCTCTCAAATATCATCAACCAATGAAGAACTGCCGGAACGTTTACGGCCTTTCATATTGATATATATATATATATATATATATATATATATATATATATATATATATATATATGTGTGTGTGTGTGTGTGTGTGTGTGTGATTTTACCTAGTTTTGGTTTCAGGAACTCGCTCCAAATTAAAAATATTTTTGATACACCGTGTATATAATGAGTTGATTATACAAATAAATTGATTGAATGTATTATTTTTGATAATCCACAAGAATATAAAAATATAAAACAGCCTCAATGTTAGAAACTGAGCAATCTATCTATTTATCTATCTTAGACTGTTTATATCTATCTATCTATCTATCTATCTATCTATCTATCTATCTATCTCAGTCTGGTTATATCTATCTATCTGCGCTTGTAATTATATATATATATATATATATATATATATATATTCAAAATATGTATATATATATATATATATATACTATGTATAGATCGTTGCGGTCTGTTTTAATTTAAGGATGTGCATGTACATATATGATTTCAACTATTAAATCTATCTATCTATCTATCTTAGCCTGTTGATAATCTATCTATTTGTCTGTCTATCTTGGCCTGTTAATGTATCTATCAATCTATCTTTTTATATATATATATATATATATATATATATATATATATATATATATATATATATATATAAATATATATATATGTGTGTGTGTGTGTACTTTAGAGCTTAATATCAAGGCACACACACATATACATATACATACATACATAAATATATACACGTTGTTACATAGACATTCTCACTATAAATATATATATATATATATATATATATATATATATATTTTCTCAAGTTGTATTTATTTATGTATGCATACATACACACACATATGAACACTTATGTCTTATACATATGTATATATACATACACATTCTTGTTTAATATCAATGGACAATAAAATCTCTCTCTCACTCTCTCTCTCTCTATATATATATGTATCTATCTATCTCTCTGTCTTTACATATATATCTGTATGAATATATCGTCATGTATTTTTCTATCTATATATGCATATATATAAATTACATATTCACATAGCTTTATATATATGTGTGTGTGTGTATGCAAATGCGCTTTCTAGTTTAATATATATATATATATATATATATATATATATATATATATTTATGTAGGTGTGTGTGTGTGTGTGTAACCAAGTAAAAGTCTGTATATATTCCCACAATCAATAGAAATGAGATTACGAATCGAGATTTTCTCATATCTTTTGCTGTTCCCAAACTAGCAATTTAACCTCTTATTGGATGAAAAAGAAACAAAAAGGAAAGAAAGCATAGGAAAATGTACTAAGTAGAAAAATAGCAAACATTTTTATTTTTATTTTTTTTTTGTTGGGTGGGTGGGGACAGATAGAGTCTCTCAACTTCGATTTGCCCGTTATTTCAAATTTCTCTGATTTTATCCGACTCGTTACGTGTCGAGAATATGTTATGCCCGCCTCGCTTGTCCCATCAAGTGTCAGATGATGGAATCCAAATCGAGGCTTGTCAAAATTGACTCATTCAATATGGCTGCTCGTAAATCACCCAATTGGAAAGTCGGTTCTTTAATCTGTCTCGACGGATTATAGGACTTGCATTAGGCCAAAGAGATTTTGTTTTCTACAGATTCGTTTAATGTTTTTTTTTTCTGTCACACACGCAAGCGTCCCGTTGCACACTCATATCTCGACACACAAACATACGCATGCACACAAAGACGTGGCGTAATGGTTAAGAAGCTTGTTACACTAGATCAATTACGACTAACTGGGTGCCCCATTCTTCCGGCCTTGTGCCACATGTAAGCTACGCTTAGAAAATTGCCATAGCCACACTCACGCAAATCCACAGACCTCGACACATGCACACACATAAAACATAATTGTCATATAATTCTATAAATCAGACACATATCACACCCCAACACACACGTATATCTACATACACACGCCTTCATTCACTAACACATCTCCACACATTCTCGTACAACCAGAGTTGACACACACATACATACATATATATATATATATATATATATATATATATATATATATATATATATATATAGATAGAGAGAGAGAGAGAGAGAGAGAGAGGGATTAATATGAGTAACAGTTTGTCACTTAGCTGATTAATGTTACCTTCATCATCCTGACTCCAGAGTTTCGTAGGCGGACATGTCCTTACATTTCAATATATATATATATATATATATATATATATATATATATGACATACACGTACATATTCGACACACAGGTACAATGCAACACGCAAATACACAGCTCGACACTAAGTTACGATTTTATTTATATCTTATACAGAATTAGACTGAAGCTTTTTATTTTGAAGACACACACACACACACACATATATATATATATATATTTATGTGTATATACATGTATAATATATATATATATATATATATATATATATATATATGTGTGTGTGTGTGTGTGTGTGTGTGTGTGTGTGTGTGTGTGTGTGTGTGTGTGTGTAAATATAAATTGCGATTTTCATACCGGGTGTAACAGCAAAAGTGTTTAAATCATATGTAGTAGCTACATATTTTTTTTTGCAATATGGCCGATGGTTAAAACTTTCGCTTTCTGAGCATGAGACCCGGGTTCGAATCTCAGCATGGTTGATTTGTTAGAAAGGCTAATTTTGGTGTTATTGGTCTGTAGGAGGCGATTCCAGCGGTCGATACATTTGGAAAGTGCCTGAAAACCATACCACATGTTGATCCAAGCCTCGTGAGTGAAATTGGGCATGCGGAACATCAGGGAGCCGTTAATGGTTGTGCTGGCACGAAGACAGAAGTCATCGTGACCGAGGTTCTGAACGTGCTGGCATTGTTCAGACTGTTGATCACGCTAGATAACGCGCACTCTCCCAGAAACTGTAACTAAGTTCCGCTCAGAATAGTTACTGTATAAATCATAGGTGAGCTCTGTGAGTGTTGAACAAACACAAATGTGTCTGATCAGGGGTCTACAACGGGGATTAGCTATCGCCATAATAGATTAGTGTCACATAGGAAGAAAATGAGTAACTACCGACACGGAGGTTCGAGCGTGACATTCTGGACATATTAATATATGTTTCCCGCCAGGTGTATAAATAGCGGTGTCAGGCTACTGACTGCAGTGATTATTGAATGACTATTGAGTGGAACTATCAAGTCGAATTAGTGTGAATTATTGTGTGTCGATGATTTGGGGTTTTTGATTTAAGCTTTACCGGTCGTTAAGCCGAGCTGCGTTACTAAAAAGGTATTCACTGAAATGGTTAATTATATTTGGTTGACTTTTACTTATTTGTTCTTGTTAAGTATTTATTTGCGGTTGTAATTAAATATTGTTTTATCTCAACATTGAAGTCTTGAGTTATACTTAATCATTAACGGTCATCGTAAAAATTAGCATCTTCGGATACGAGTGGCTGCTCCATTTAAACTAGGAGACAGTGACAATAATATATTTTATAGATGTTGTATTTTTCTCTCTCCGTTGCCGCAGCCGATAATAGAATTAAGAAAAACTGTGCCGAGGAAAATGGCGGCCATTTTGGAAATTAACAAACCATTTCGCTTCCGGCGGGAACTTCATGGTGTCCCAGTAACAAAGTCATTTCACTAATTCACTTCCTGACTAGACAGACATTTTCATCAAAGCACACACGATTTACACACGGTAGATAAAGCTATACTTTTCTATGATTTTTATACTAACTGCTGATCCAAGGATGAAAAATAAACAAACGCTCCAATAATTTCTTTCTACACCTCATGAGTATTAGAAATTTTAGAAGATTTCTTTTTGACTTTTGTAAGTGTTGGCTATAATATTTATTTGCTAAATTTTATAAATTTCATTAACAGTGAGGTTGCTTAAACATTGTGCCTGTAGTTGTTTGTATAGATAATGAAAAATTTGTTGTATTTTTTGTTTGTATTTGGTTTATTTGCATTAGATAAAGAAATTGTAGCTAATTATGTCAGTAACAGACGACAGAAAATTTGACACAGATATCTAAAAGTACAGAGGATTCTTTTTTTTTTTTTGACTGACATTAACCTGATAACTATTATCTTCTGGATAATATCATGGATCGTTCATGTGCACACACACAAAAATATATATATATATATATATATATATATATATATATATATATATATATATAATTATTTTTATTTAAAATATGATTCCAAATCGCGACATAAGAAGTCCCATGTTTCAAAACAAGAGCTGAAAACTTCAATATAATTATTTAAATTAAATTGAGTTAAAATAAGCACTGTTCCATCTTCAAGCGAAATTTTTTTTTGAATAACGTGTTTCTGAAATTTACGTGTTTTAAAAATTGAAATCAAAATTTCCATGGTAACAGCTAGGGCGAATTGTTTAAATTGAGTAGGCGGGTGTTGGGTGTTAATAATAAGTATCAGTATAGAGTCACTTTCGTAGATGTCAAGTCAGGGAAAGGTGGGGGTGTCTAAATTTGAAACGGAAGATGTATTAACCCTCGTCTAGTTTGCATGTCTATGGAGATTTATTTATTTTTTTATTTTATTTTTTTATGAAAGGGATTTGTGCATATAAAAAAAAAAGAAACTGTCGTAACGTTTGTTTTTTGACAACTTCATAAAGGGTTATCTTTTTTAGGGTATTTAAACTATTTATTTGGGCTATGGATTATGAAGGGTGCTATATTGTATGCAAGTTTTTAGTTAATTATTCAAACCATGAATCTGATGAGTGGGCTATGGATTAAACAAGTTATTATATTGTATGCTAGTTTTTAGCTAATAATTCAAACCAAAAATCTGGTGATGCCTACAAAAAACCGTTAACTCGTGTCTATTGTTTAATAGATTATTATTATTTAGAAGCTTAATTATGTGCAATTTCTCATGGAGGCATAAAGGTCATGGGTCATCCCAAGTTTTACATATTCTAGCCTTGTTAATAATTTTCCATTTAACTTTTGGTGTCCTATTTGTTTCCTTCAGATGCCAAAAATATTTAGATAGGGAAGTCTGATTTCTTTTGTTTATATTATTGAAAGAGCACTTATGCTGCCTCCATCTATCTTTAAAATCATTCTTCGTGGACCTAATGTATATCTTATTAGTGCTAGGGCTCTCAGTGGATGATATAGTACATTGGTATACCACTGATTTAATGCAGCATTTATTTTCTAATGTGCAGTCTTCTAGGTTTCTACAGTTACATATTTTTCCCTTTTATTGTCTGATTTAAGTGCAGGGTTTTTATTAATACAGTTTAGGCATGTGGGTTTGTTCAAGATCTTACTGTATTTTTTTTATTATA